ATCATAATTATAAAAAAAGTTGTTTGAAAGAATGGAGGTGTCACCTTTTTTTCCTGCCTGTGCACAATGAAAAGGAAAAGAAAATAGGTTACCATAAATTAAAAATTGCCCAAGTGAATTAATAATTCGCGGCGCAAACTGAAAGAAGTGCGCCAAGATAAATTTTTGAACTTCTAAGTTTTTCAGTATGTTCTTTAATATTTAGGTATAGTTTGAGTCGTAGAATTGAAATATGGAAAAAAATAGGTATGTCATTTCAGAAAAAAAAAAAAAAAAAAAAAAATGCGATTTTGTGTCAAAATACCTACGTTAGAACAATGCTGTATACAAATCTAGTACATATCCTAAGTTGCACATTCGAAACATGAAAAAAGCCAAGTTACATTTCGTCAATCGGCCTAATGGAACGGGAGATATCGAATTGTCTCATTAGTTTTGTGCAGAATTTACGTACGCACGTATTTCGCATAACTGAAAAAAGATTATCCATATAATGTTGAAATTTCGTATATTGGACTGTTATAATATGTAGTTGCGCTTCCTTTTTATTTCAATCACCAAGTATATATTTATATATCCACCTCCCTTAACAAGGCTTGTAAAAGTCCTTAGCCCGACCTTTATTTATTGGTCATAGACATATACTTCTAGTTACAGAAGTGTTTTAAACGATGAAAATATTCATGTTTTGGCAATGTTAAATTTAAAAAAAAAATTCAGCAAATAACGAAATCTAAATTTTAATGCTTTCTCTCGTTTCCCATACTTATATTTAGGGAAAGTTTTATACTCGTTATGAAAAAATAAAATTATTAGAAGTTTAACTCCCGTACAACTAAATGGAATGATTGTCACAACTAGAAATTGGAAGGTAGGTTAAAATGAATATCGAAACATACTATTCGAAATCCATACTGTTTCAATGTCGAATTTTTAATATTTATATTTTTGAGGAATGCGATTTTTCAGCTTATTGAAACTTGGCTGTATTTGGATTGATCATTCGCTTTTTTACATAAAAGCGAAAATCTTATGTACTATATATACCTATAGAGATATAACAGTATACCTAACAGTATAAACTAATTTTACGATTTTGACGGCTGTAGTAGAAATTAGTGAAATATAAATTATATGTTAATCCTCTTACAAACAAAACAAAAAAAAGTTTCAAATAGCTAATTTTTCCTCATATTATTACTTAATTTAAAATAATATATTCTTTAATATGTCATTGACTATTGGTCTTCAAAACTGTCAAAATTATGTGATGTAGAATATTGGCACCCGAAATTAATATCGGATTGCTAGTGGGACAGGATAACTGTTGTATTCTGTTGACCAAAAAAGCTTGGAAGATGCTTTTTCATTCCTGTATCACTTTTTAACTCAACTTTGTCTTCCAGATTTTACTTTAAGTTTGGTTTGCTATTAAAATGTCTAGAAAATGGAAAGCAGTCCTCCTTGAAAGGTACAACAGTACTTCTTTATTATAGCGGCCCCAGAAGTTGAATCATTCTCGCCAAAATCTGGCTGCGTGTAACCAGATTTGGCGCCACTTAAAAGTATATATATATATATATATATATATATATATATATATATATAGACCTCCCACTTAATAGTATATTTGCATTTTGTTCGTGATGCATTTTTGCTCTCGCCGCGTGTTCATATTATTCATTTTTGATGATGCAATTACATCAAATAGCACCTCATGTAAATGATACATGTACAATGGTCAATCGTTATATAACCCCTTTTTAACTGGACATTGGTCATTTCCCACATACTTCTTCAGAATAAACATCTCAAACTCTGAGCAATGTGTATGTGGGAATAAAGGTGATTCAGTCCACTATATTACTCATTGTCCATTAACAAAGTCAACTCATATTAAATTGCCTAATTCAAATATCAATTCCTTCCTTCGTTTTGCAATTAACAACAAACATTTAAAAAATAAAATAGAAAATGCAATCAAATATCTCTTCAAAAGGCAAAAATTTATGTGAGCACCACTAAAGTAATTAATGTCAAAATTCATTTTTGAAGCTGCAATTCATCTAAAATTAAATAATTATCTTAAAAACAAATCCATGCACTAATAATGATATAGTAAAAAAGGGAAAAGAAGAGTAAGAAGGTAAGGATTCATATAATAAACTTTGCCTTAGGAACTATTATAAATTATGACTGTTGGCCTACTATTATTATACCTATTATAACTACTATAATTATATCTAATAGATATGATATCAATCATAGTGTCAATATACTATTATGTACTATTTTAAATACTAACTTTAAACCGAAGTGTAGTGGGACTATACATTATTTATAGTAAACATTGGGTGTCCCACTACACTTTCCACCTGAACCTGAATTCGCAATGTTTGTTTAAAAATGTATTCCTTCTTTTTCTGTGTGTGTGTGAATATAACGTTAACAGTTTTTAATTTAATAGGTGGATGACATATCACTTTTATAAAGAAAGAGGTCTTTAACCTGACAAACGAGTATGCGAAAATGGCCATAATATTAAATTTTATGTCAATAACAAAACCATTTGGTGGTGCAGTGCTAAAAATCGAAAAAAAAAAAAAAAAAAAAAAAAAAAAAAAGGGGGGGGCTTCTGTGTTGGAAATTGGTTCAGCGGTTTCAGAATATCTTTCGTCACTGATATTAGATTTATTTTTTCTAGGAGTTGACGTCCATTAAATGGTGTAACAAACAGCTTAATATGTATGAAAGTGCTGCAGTTGATTGGAACAATTGCATGCGATAAAATGATAATAATAAGTATTCTTAGGAAACAACATGTGAGTATTACTGCTATTATTATATATTGTGTTGTAGCTCACCAGCGGCCGAGTGGTAAAAGTCGCTGAACAGTGGTAGTTCGGTCCGAGGTTCGAATCCCGCGAACGGGCTGGCTTCATGAGCGTTTTCGTTGTTTTCCCCATGTGTAACGTGTATACGAGTCAGTTCTCCTTAGAAAGTCCTCCACGAAGGCATCCCTACCCTTAGGCAGATAGCCCTAGTGTGCTTTGTCATAATTAATACACCAAACTATATATTGTGTTGTTTACTTTTACATTCGCGCTTCACGAGCTTGGCGATATTATAGCTGAGATCTTGGCGCAAATCTACTCTAAGTGAAAATTGCCAAGTAAGATTGACGTGCCCCTGTTACAAAAAAGTGCCAACACAACTGACTTTGAACTAAAGTTTTAAAAGAATTTGATAAGAATATAAAATCTATGGAACTATCGAAACAACTGAGCATTCTTGTGTCAACAAATCTTTCTGAAATAAATAAATTAGACAAAAGGTTATTAGTTTGCCGAAATCCGCATCAAAGAAATTGTGTGTTCAAGGAAAAATATCTGAAGTTCAAATCATGTTTTGCTGAGTTGCATGTTTGCTGAGTAGTGTAGGCCGTTAAATATTGCAGAGAAAGGGCCTATACCAGCGAAAAAGATGTGAAAGAAATAATATCGCGATGAGCGGCTGTTTTTTTCACTGAAGGTTTGTATAAACTTAAATCATATCGTACATGCAGAATTCAAAGATGTCTCAACCAAATTAATTGAATATACACGAGTTTATACAAAAACGTGTATAGATATCAGTTAAAAATATTTTCTGTTTTGAACGAAACTAGTCTTTCCTTTCATTTTATGCCTTGAAAATGTCTAGACTCTAAAGACCCTCAGTATCATGGACAAAATAGCTTCACTATTTTACTATGACCAATTACTGCTGAAACGGAAGGGGACACATTACTCATAAGAATGTCGAAGCTGTTTAAAAAGTGTGTATAGTATATAGCGAATAAAAAAGGGAGGATGTCTGCCTATATATCTACAGATTACTTCAAGAAAATCATTAAGACATTTTCTTGAGGCAGCCCACCAGCGGCCGAGCGGTAAAGTCGCTAAACACTGGTAGTTCGGTCCGAGGTTCGAATTTCGCGAACGGGCTGGCTGCATGGGTGTTTTCGTTGTTTTCCCCATGTGTAACGTATATACGAGCCAGTTTCCCCTTAGAAAGTCCTCCACGAAGGCATCCGTCCTCTTAGGCAGATAGCCCTCGAGGCTTTGCCATAATCACACACACACTTGAGGCAGTAAGGCATTAAGAAGAAAACTTCAAGAAAAATTTGTTGACTATTTACTAAATAAACACACGAGCATGAGCATCCCGACATCTTCATGAAGGTTACATTCTTCACCCGGAATTTTGACAAAGGCTACATTCTTCTTAGTATAAACTGAAATTGCTTTTTAAAAATGGGTGCTGGTAACTTTGTTAAAGTCTACGACTATTCACTTATATCTTCACCTCTGCGTCCCCGCACCTTGATGAAAAGTGCATTCTTCATGGCAGAAACTGAGCTTCATAACGGTTCCAGGCATTTCTTATGTTTTAAGGAACAATGGCTAAGTTGAAAAGGTGCCGGCATTTTATTTAAGGTACCGAGTATTCACTTAAATGTTTAACATGAACGTCCCGGTACCTTAATGAAGGTTGTATATTTTATGGTGTACACTGTCTGAACTTCGAAAGTATGCTAGACATCTTAGTGTCTTATTGGTGATGCCCCCTTGTACTTTGGTGAACAATGGTGAACTCGTGTAAAGCTGTTGGCAAAATTATGCAAACTGGCCGTGCAAGTTAGATCACAATCCGCTGCTGTTGACTGTAATTCCACATCGGTCTCTTGAACATTACGAAAATGGGAGACAATGGCTCTCGCATAACCCAGATATTAATCCATGAGATTTCTTTTTCTGGGATATCTTGAAAGATATTGTAACAAAATGGTGGATCAGTTTAATACATTCTGCACTAAACTTATTTTGCATGCTTAGACTGTTAACTGTGCATTCATTTTTGCTGTATTTTGATGGTAAATAGATATGTAATAAACAGAACATAATGTTTGACTTCCGTGCGTCACCGTGTATATATCAAATTTTAATGAAAGGAAACTATTTATTTTAATGAAATTTTAATGAAAGGAAACACTTAATAAAGAATGTTACAAAATTTGTAAGCATAAAATATCATTTATTACTGGCATATATACACAAAAATCTTAAAGCTAAGTTATATGATAAACATACACAGAAGTAGTAGTTTCTTGTGCATTTATGAAAAATATAAATAAATCTTGACAAAGAAAAGCATTTGAAAGAGAAGCTCTTATCTAAAAAATATAACAAATAGTACAAGCAAAATGTTGAATTCCTTTTTTTTTTTTTTTTTTTTTTCATTTTCATCTGTTGAGCATTCAGAATTTGTCTATTTTCTACAGAGAAACTGTGTGAACGTACCTTTGCTTTGTGAAAAGGTACGTTCATACAATCTGCAAGTGATTTGTATAAGGGTAGGAGTTATCTATTATTTACCATAGGTTAAGCAAGCCCCCTTGTGCTACTTATCGACAAAACCAACACCCTCCCGGCATCATCGAGCCGTGTTCATACTATGACTCCAGTCTAAACCGTAAGCCCTGACACCACCGGCGACGTCACCAGCACTCCATCTCCATTTCGGCGTTGATTTAACTCAAATAAAATACATTACATTATGTTGTACACATAGAAATAAATAATAATAGTAAATTAAGGCAAAAATCAACCTTGGAATGGCGTTGCGGTCTTTTTAATTTATAATGGTAAATGACGTGAATGTTTTTAAAGCAAAAGATGGCTTCGTGGAGGATGTTACAAGAGAAGCTGTGGTATGTTCCTATTTCATGAAATCATAAATTGCCAATTGGAATGGCATTGGTTTATACAAGTAAAATTGATTCCAGCGCTCATTTTTTATATTAGATACTGGCATGTGTGTGTCTTTTTCATAAAGAAATGATAGTGAATTAAGAATCTTTTGATTTCCAATATACATTCACTGACAACTTCTGAGACAAAAAGAAGACGGACAGAATACAGACATAGATTTTGCAAGCTTAGTACCCTGAGTAATTTCGTTTTAAAACAGAACGGAAATCATTTACTGATATCCTCGTGCTCTAGGGTCACTAACAGGGACTAGGACATATCGAACGCCAGCACGTCCTCCACTGGCTGCTGGAGCAACGGGTCCAACTGGACGATTTACTACGGATCTGACTCCTAAATTGGAAGGAACAACAGCCCCTCCTTGGCCAGCTGAAGATTCGATAACAACGTCGGCTGGGTTGATACTGGCGGTACCTGGTTCGTTGGTTCTAATGACTGGTCTAAATCCACCCTCGTCGGCAACGTACTCGACAATTCTTTCATGTCCTTCCAGATCCCTGACGGAATAGGATCCGCTTACACGTCCTGCTCCATCGCCGGATTCCTGATGTGAGCTCTGTCCACCGTCTTCACCGTTTGCCGAGTAGCTGAAGGAATAAGGAATGGGTATTCCTTGAGGTTCCTAAAAATGCAAATTTCTTATTAAAATATTATTAAAAGATGAGACTTCGCGAAGATTTGAAGATTTTAGTTGTTTGAAGTTAGAGTTCATAATATTTTCAGTTCCATTAAAATGAACATGAATATCTCGTAAGAAAATCCATAAACGTAGTTAAGAAATTCACAATGGGATTTAAATTTCATTCAGAGTTTTGGAGTTACAGATATTATTATTTCGATTAAGTTTCATTCGTATTTAATCAAAAAATAAACAAGCTCATTTACAAATTTTTGGACTAAGAACAATCACTTTGTTTGGAAATACATTTATAGTATATGAAAAATGTTTTCTCGCAGTTGAAAATTAATGAGAAAAGAACCCGATTAACCGACGAGTATCTACAACCAGTACTGAAGATAATTTCCAATAATTTCTCTGCATGTCTACAAGCTTCATCAAAATTGAAACGTCGTCAAGTTTCAGGCTGTAGTAAAAAATAAAGTTTACAATTATTTGCATACAAAAGTATTTTTATTTATCTGTCGAGTAAATAAGTCTGCTTTATAAATAAGGGAAAGAGATTCAGTTGTTATTTTTTATTTCGAAGTTTTCTCCCTCTTAATATATTTTGTCTAAAGAAGTTTTCATAATGTTTAAAAATTTTTCTTTTAAATTAAATTTTTTAAATGTTGGAGTTATTTTAAAGAAACGTCAGTTTAAAAATTTAATATTTAGATAATAGTATATTGGAATTAAAGTGCAACCAGCAAAAATGTCTTACATGTACCAAACTTTAGTCTCAGAAAATAAATAGAAGTTTGATTTTTTACCATTTGCGATGTTATTATTTTTTATGTATGTTTTTTGATAAATATTTGGTAAATGAAATTAAAAATTTATTTAAATATTTTTTTTTCTGTAAAATTTTTCATTTTGTTAAAAAAAAAGAAATTCTTGCCCGTCGCTTGTTTTGAGGTATGCTTTCAGCTCGCATGCGGCTTTGAGTTTCACACCACAGCTATATTGATTATATTATTATAAGCTATTATAAGATACTAATTTATATAATAATAATAAAGATCATTTATGAGTTTACGTACTGAGTTAAAATTTAAAATGAAATGTACTTACATATTGAGCGTATTGAGCTACAGCTCCCGCAACAGCAACAGCAAGAATTACGAAAACCTGGGAAAAAGAAACAATTTTTTATTACTTTGAGCTAAAAAAGTATATATAGAACATAATATACTGTTAATTAATAAGGAAAAGACATAAAACTTTTACTATTATTTTATAATTCAAATTGCCTGTCAGTCATGTTAACGGTACAGTATACGTCATTAATATTGTTCCAGATTCTTGGACGTATACGAAAAGAACTTTTCGGATAAGAAATAAAGGGATAAAATCAATCCATTCTTATTAAAAAAAACCCTGATATTATTGTTATAACACTGTTTAATACTGAAAATACGAATAGAGTGCCAACTTTTTGTAGGTATGTGGGCCTAGAAATAAGTTTATTTAAGGCGGTGGTAAAAATTTTATAAGTTTTTTATTCAAAATGTTTTTCGAAAATTTAAAAAAATTGCCAAAAAATTGCAAATTAAAAAAATAAATCAGAAAATATCCGCCAGTTTTATTTGGATTAAACCAAAATTAATTGCTAGAGAAGAAATCAAGTAAGTTTAATAAAAAAAATATTAATAAATATATACCGAATTCAATTAACACAGAGGAGCTTAAATTTTTAAAGCTAATTATAAAAAACTGTTTTTTTTAAAAAAATTACTGTTTTTAGAAAACTTTTCTAGCATATTTTGAGTTAAATTTTGTCAATCGGCGCAGTAGAATGGGAAATACAAAACACTCTCCCTCCATTTTCGTGGCGTCTGTGCGTACGTGCGTATCTTGCATAGCTCAAAAACGAGTAGACTCAGAACGTTGAAATTTTATATATAGGATTGCTATAACATGTAGATGTGCAATTCGTATTTTGGTTGCAATCGGCGGCACATATTATAAAAAATTAAAGAAAAGAGAACAAACTAAAATAAGACCTCTGTGGTCAAAACTTTGCGCATTGAGCTGCAAAATTTAGAAAAAAGTTAAAAGGAAATTTCTAGTGCTTACGCCAAAAAGTTGCTTAGATACTGTGGTTCCGTTAACAATATTAACATAAGTAAAATAAAGTGCATATATATATATATATATATATATATATATTCACTTAATGCGAACGAGGCTCAGTAATCTCAGTTTCATTATTCTTATATGTGTGTAAATTGTGCATTTTTTTGCTTTAAAAATGATTGAATTATGTTGTTCTTATCTTCCGGTTAAGCTTTTTTTGCCTTTAGTAAATCTGCATGCAATATTTGTAGAATTATCAACAATTTAAAAGTTGTTTAAGTGACGCTAAGCTTAATTATTTTTGCCATGGCGGCCATGTTTGTTTACATTTGAAACAGCGGAATAGTAGATTTGTTGCCAATCTAGAGAAAGTAAGCTTTGCAACAGCAAAGATAACGCCTTCTTTTATTATTGCGAATTAAATCATGCTTAATCCATTCTGGAATTTATTCGAGGAAATAAGTGTTTCAGATTTACTTCATAATTTTTAATACAGATATTTTGTGTCTGCGAACAGAGTGTACATGAAAAAAGAGTCAGTCCAAGACCAGTAGTAGTCAAGCACAGTATACGTGGAAGGTACTGCAAATTATATCGTGATATTTTAACGGTAAATTTATATATGTATGGCAAAACCTTTCATGGCGATTCTATCAACTATGAGTTTCAGAACAGAAAAAGAAACTTAAGAACAATATTATTAAATACCGAAGAACCTGCTTGTATGTTTGTTTTATATTCCTCGCTATTGTGGAAAACGGTGACACTTACAACTACTACATTTAAACACACCTAGCCATACATCCGAACATGTGCATCTTAAACCCTGAAATTTTTATTTATTTGTTTTTTATTATTTCATATTTTGTGCGAATTTAAGGAACTTTTGATTAAAGACTCGGAGACATAAAAGCTTTGTGTTGGCATTCGGCAAATCGTAAGATTTTTTTCAAATGTAATCAGAAATCTCAGCGATACAAAAGAAATGTGTCATTAATTCCTCTTTCGAATTTAATCGACAAACTCCACGATTTAAAACTTTGTACGGCCGCTCTGGCAAAGCGTAAGATATTTTTGTTTCAAATTTACTTTGAAAAATTGGCGGTATAAAAGAAGTATGTCGCCACACGACGAATCGCATTATATTTGTATTTAGAATTTAATCTCTTCGCAAAACAATTGAATCTAATTTTGCGCACAAATTCGTTGAGCATATGCATTTTGAAGCCCAAATTCTGAATTTAAATTTTGATTACTAGCTCAAAGGGACGTTAGCTGATAAGGCCTGTTAGTCTCGAAGAGGCATTTTGCCTCGAATCACTATAAACGGCTGTATCACTTTTCAAATTGTTGTCACCAAATATTATCGCCTTGTATTATATTTAAAGAAACTAAAATAATGAAGAATCTACACGAATGTATGTTTCTCGCATTGTGAAAAAATAATGGTAGTTAGAGCCATCCAATTCTGAATACGTAGTTCTCCACCCGAACATGGGCACCTGGAAGCCCGATTCTTGAATTTCCAATTTGTTTTATTATCCATTTCATATTTTTAAACTTTTAACAAACTTTTTATTAAGAAACTCAGCTATTTCAAAGCGAGCAATGGCAACACACTGTACGGAATAAAATATTTTTATCTCCAGTGCGCGATATCGTCTATCGGGAATTCTGAAGATATACTGTTTTTAAATATTTTTAGCCCAAAGGGGCGTATGTCAACGTGCTCTCAAAACGTGTATATATGTGAAAATGGGGAAAAAACGCCCCTTTGGTCGTAATATAAAATCTGAAAGCTTTCAGATTTTTTTTATTATTATATATTTTTTCTTATTTTTCTTAATTTCCTATTTTGTTCGAATTTAAGGAACTTTTGGTTAAAAAAGCGGTATAAAAGTATTTTGTTGCCACTCGGCAAAGTGTAAGATATTTGTCTTTCAAATTTAGTAAGAACACTGGGCGATTTAGTTGAAATGTGTTGCCACAGTCCAGCGTAAAATAATTTCATTTTTTCATGCCAATTTGTTACTATTTCATGAAGCTTAACAAAACAAATTATTTTTCTTTCAAATTTATGTTATTAGTTTACAAACTAAGCAATTTAAGAGCAATAAACGCAAATTCATTTTAATTCCCATTTATTTTTAGCTGGAACCGTAAAAAACTGCGTTAGCTGGGTTCATTAAAATCATTATAATTTTTTTTTTCTTTTTAGCTGGCTAGTAATAATGAAGCATAAAATACATGAAAAATGTTGTAAATTTTCTTGGAGTATTTTCATGCTAAGTATTGTACATATAATGAAACCTCTCGTGACCACCACATGCCTTGCATGACTATCGCTGAAAGCGGCCATTATTTCTGGATATATGTGCAGACTCCAATATTGAACATCACTTCCACAGAAAATACATATTACGTGGATTTTTCCGCTAGAGAACTAAAGAAATAAAGCCTCTACTATCAAATGATGAAAAATCTGTATGCGTGTATGTTTGTATATATTACAATATGGGAACAAGCCTAGCGGTATTAGATTTCGAACACTTTTAGTCCTTCACCCGAATTTGAGCACCTCGAGCCAGAATTTCAAATTTGTTTTTGATTTATCTCATAATTTGTCCAAATTTAATGAATTTTTGATTAAGAAACGCAACGATTTGAAAACAAGCAGTGGTAGCTCTCTTCGAAATAAAACATTTTTGGAATGTTGTTAGTCAGCAAAAGGTAATATATTTAGTGTTTCAATTTTAGTCAAGAAACTCCGCTATTTAAAAGCGATGTGCTGCCTCTGCAAGAAATAATTTTCAATATTATATTCCACGCACCAGCGTGTCCGTTCAGTAAACCATAAGATATTTAACAACTTCCAAATTTAAATAGTCTGCTATAGAATAAAAAATCAAGCGATTTAAAAACTCTAAACGCAGTTATTAAAAATATTTTTCTTGATCGATTTAAATAAAAATGCATTTAAATCATGAGATGCCTATTGATAAATACTAAATATTTTTACGAATTTACACTACCTGAACTCATTAAAATCATTATACACTTTTTTATGATAGCCATTTCAGGTATACAGAAACAGACGAAAAAGATATTACCTTCATCTTCGTGATATAGATGTCCTGAACAGCTACTGATGATCAATGAGGAACGATGTGTATGACAGTCTTTGTCACCGACCCTTTATATATACGATGCCCCAACAAACTTCTCTTCATTTGCTACATTGTAAAGTATGTCTTGAATGCTGATTGCTGCTAAACCTTCCGCTTACATGGAAATGACTCAACAGGTCATCGAGTCAATTTTCAATTCTTACCTTCCGGCACTACTCTCAAAATCTCATTGAAGATTCCCCCCTCCAGGTTTTAGCTCTCACTTTTACTTTCTTCCCTTTTGTTTCTGCGGTATCTGGATCACAAAATCGAATGTGTGAATCTAATCACGTAAGTGGTGTCACCTCATCATGAAGGAGGAGTGATGAGTTGAAGGTTTCTTTTGCTCTCCCACTGCGTTGCGTAATGAGAGCAAGCCTCCTCTTCTGTGTCGAAATATGATTTGTTGAATTTTCTGTGGTCCTGGTTGGTGTTATGAATGTCTTCATTGTTGTCATTTAACTTAACCATATTCCTGAAGATAAGTAGCTCGGGTTCACGAGGTGAGTTAGATGTTGGGCTACTTTCGCGTGTTTCCGTAACCCCCTTTAGAAACCCCTCTTAGAATTCAAAGATCAGCTCTCTTTCAAGGTGATCACCTTCTAAAGAAGACCAACTTTTAAGTGACCAGTATTTTTGAGGACACAAATAATCAGTAATGGTATTAAACACCATCACAGTATGTTATGTTTTTTAGGAGATGGACTTCTGAGAAGGTTAAAATCCTGTAGAATTGTGAATGGTCGCTTTAGGGAGGTTTCACTTTGTTTATTTTTGAATAATTTTTGATTGAGGGATTTCTTGTTAAATTCTCTACTTTAGTTCAAAAAGAATATTAGTCCCGAATAGGATATTAGTCGTTATAATTTTGCGTTGAATCGTAATAAAGAGGTGTATGACTTTTCAAATTGTTGCCACCGTATATTATCGCCCTGTGTTATATTTAAAGAAATTAAATAATGAAGAATCTGCATGAATGTATGCATATTTCTCGCACTGTGACAAACCAACGACACCCACAGCCATACAATTTTAAATAACGGTAGTCATCCAAGCCGAACATGAGTACCTGGAAGGTCTAATTTTGAATTAGTTTTATTATCTTTTCCAAATTTGGCAAAACTTTAATGAATTTTTGATTAGCAAACTCGACGATTTCAAAGCGAGCAGTAGCAACACTGTAGGGAATAAAACATTTTTAAAGAGAAAGGCAGAAAAATGTATGCCAACACTTAATGCCGCCCTAAAATAGTTATAGTATTAAAGTAATTATATATATATATATATATATTACTTTAATGAATCCACTAGCGTTATTTCATAAAAATTATTTAATATTTACAAATGCATATCTCATGATTTATATGGATCTTTTTTTATTTAAAGTAGTCTGATTAAAAATAGTAGAAATTTTATTACTCAGTAATAGATTAAATTTTAAAGTTATATATCTTATCTTTTACTGAATAGAAAACGCGGGCTTGTAGAAGATAAGTCTTTTATTCCAATTTTTTTAAAATTTTAAGTCTTTTTTTTTACTGTGGCAACACACTGTTTTTTAATATCATAGTTTGCTGATTAAAACTGAAAGAATAATACTGAAAGACATTATTCTAAATGGCAAGTCTCGCGCCCTGGAGTTAAAAATGCTTTATTCCGAGCAATGTTACCTCTGCTCGCTTTCAAATCATGGAGTTTTTTACCAAAAAAGTCATTAAATTTATATAAAATATGAAATAAATAAAAAAAAAAAAAAAAAAAGAAACAAATTTGAAATCTAAACTTCTGACTTCGAGGTGCACGTATTTCATGCAGAGTACTACATGTGAAGGACTATGTGTTCAAAATTTGGTAGCTCTAGGTGATGCCGTTTTTTCCGCTGTGCAAGGAATATGCAAACGTATTATGCATACAGATTCTTCATTATTTAATAGCAGAGAAAAGATTAATTTGATTCATAAATCATTGAAAAGTTTTCGCTGTCGCATAAAAATTTTGGCATAGTATAAACGTTTTTCCTTTATAAAGATTAAAAACATTTTACATTGAAAATTATTATCGTTTGTGCAACTTTGTGCAGAAATTATTTAAAAAAAAAAAAAAAAAAAAGGTGATATCCTTCAGTACCTCCTGCTGTGTTTTTGCCCTAATCGTTCAATCCCTATTATGCTTAGCATTCTTTACTTTATCTCTCCACCGGTGGAGAAGTTGAACACCTGGCGTTAAAAGGTTTTTTTTTTTCGGGGGGGAGGAGCGGGTAAAAGGTAGTATATCTGGGACGCGTGCGTCAAAAAGTTAACTTTAAAACAGTCGTTTAGTAGATAAATTCATCTTTTGAGTTATTTTAATGTGGTATCCTAACTGTTTTTGGAACACTCTGCAATCGTTTGCAGCATGTGGGTGGACGTCGTGGGTGGTTTTGTTGCGTTTCCAGAGCGGACAGAACAATGTACCCGCAGATTTAGTTTTCCAAATAATAACTGAGTAATACGGGGATACGGCAGACTGTTGGATTTCAACTTGAATTCTCTGTGTTACTGTTTGTCACTGTTAAGTAATTGATATCTGTATGAAATTATTATTAATGTTAATTTTTTAGTTATTTAAATTAACAGTAGGTGCCGCTTAATTTTGATCACATTTGTCTACGGCTGTTTTGTTAACATTAATTGAATGACAACATTAAACGACGGGGAAAATGTATACCACAGAGCAGCAAAGGAGTTTAACTAATTTAATATAAATGCAAGAAGCATATAAATGTTTTCACAGAATTATTTTTAGAAGAATGCAAAAATTTACTTATGAATTGTTTATAATGTTTTTAACCCAGTTGTTCGTTTAAAAAAAACTGTTCATAACAATTCTGGAAATTACTTGACCAGTGATATATCTCTAATCAGAGGAAATAACTCATGGGCTGGAAGAGACCACGTCAACGTCAAATTTAAAAGTAGGAAAAAAAAAAAAAAAAAAAAGCCTAAGTTTGGGCGTAGATATTTTCAGGGGATTTTTCTTTTCTTTTTAATTCCTTGTACAAATACTTCCATGCAAGTATTGCACCCGCGAAAAATTTCGAGTATCATATTTCAAAGAAAATAGCCCATTTTGACTGATCCCGAATTTATTTGAAATTTTTTTTTTTTCCGTGACGTCTGTATGTCCGAACAGAAAAAAGAACTCTTTATTTTTTCTTCTTTGTACGAAGTAAAGGAGGTACTGTAATCGCGAAAAATTTCGGGTGCCATGTTTCAACTAAAATATCCAATTTTACCCCTCTCGAATCCACTTGAACGATGTTTTTGTGTGACATCCGTATATACGGACAGAATAAAGGACTTTTTCCGAAACGGATTGTAAAATGAATTTAAAACAGATTCAAAAGAGATTTTTTTTTTTCGTGACGTCTATGTACGTACGTATTCAAAAACGAGTAGCCTCAGGACGTTGAAATAGAACGGCTGTAACATGTAGCTGTGCATTTCCCTTTTTGGTTGGAATCGATCGTACCAAATGTTATATCCATATGTTGGTCAATTATGCATTTTTTGCTTTAAAAGTGATTGGATTATATTGTTCTTATGTTCCGGTTTAGGTTTTTGTGCCTGTAGTTAATCTGCATATAATAGTTGTAAAATTATCAGCAATTTAAAAGTTGTTTGAGTTGTACTAAGCCTAAGAAGGCCGCCATTTGTTTAGATTTGTAATTCTTGGTAGAATAGTGAATTAAGTCAGTTTGTGCACAAATTTCAGTGTCGCTTTGCCAAGTGGGACCAAAAGTAAACTTTCAATTTTGTGCACCGAAAAACTGTCTACCTTCTTCCCTGGCTGAATTCCTTCTTTTGCGTAGAAACTCTAATTTTAAATGTAAAAATTCTTTTTAAAACTGCTTTTTAACTGTTTTTGGTGTTTTTGTTTATTTTACAATTTTTAATGAAGATAATTTGAGTTTTTATGTGTTTTTGCCTTTCCGCGAAGTGTGGGGTGAATTGAATGAATTAGAAATACAAGAAGCAGTCGAAAAGTTTCCAGAATTTCGTTGCAACTCTTTATTACTTCAATGTAAGTACACATTTTATTCATTCGCCTTGAAAGTAGACTTCCCTCCTCTTCTTTTGCCATTGCTACGGATAAAAGTTCTCTTGTGCTAGTTTCCGAAGTTCAGCCGTCGCGTTGGTTTTGATGTCTTCTTCCCCCTCCCCTACGATGTCAAAACAGTTACCTTTGAGGCCCGTTTAAATCTTGAGGAAGGGCCAGAAATTGGATGGGGCTAAATCCGATGAGTAGGGAAGCTGGTGAAGGATTGGAATGTTCTTTTCTGCGAGCCATGTCTGCCCAACAATCGAAGTGTGACGGGAAGAATGTCGTGATTGCAGTGACCATCCTTTTTGCCATTTGGCGGGACGTTTTCTTCGGATTGCCTCCTTCAGTCTTTTCAAAACTTCCACGAAAAAAAGGCTATTAACAGTTTTTTCAGCGGGTACAAATTCATAGTGCATCACGCCGTTGTCGAAAAACGCTATGAGCATCATTTTTGTTTCAGATTTCACATCACGTGATTTCTTTGGTCAAGCAGAAGACGTTGTGGCTCATTTTTTGGCTGCATTTTTGTCTCCGGGTGGTAAGCGTACATTCAGGTCTCGTCACAAATAACACTCAAGAAACGCCGCGTTCTCTGTAATTTTATCAAAATAAATCAACCGCAGTCAACTGCCGAGTTTCCGTTCGATCCGGGCACAGCAGCCGCGGGACAAACTTTGCACAGACACGTTTTATCTTCAACTGACAAGATTATGTAAATGGATACATGAGAAATCCTCACTTCGTGAGCCACTCGCCAACTTCTTCTGTCTGATCTAATTAACTGTTTCACTTGCTTGGCCATGCCTTCTTTTCTGGAGGTTGAAGGTCTCCGACTGCTGCTTTCGTCTTTCAACGATTCCTGTCCTCCCGAAATCTTGAAAATCGTTCGTAAACGGTTGCTTTCTAAAAAATCCGTCACCGTAAAATGTTTGTAAAGCTAACAAAGCTAACAAAGATTTTC